AAATCCGCGTCCGAGGAGGGCAGGGCAGCGGCCGCTGTCACCGCACCCGCCCGCGGCCCGGAGTCGCTTCCCTCGGTGTTGACAGTGCTGTCCTGCGACGGCTCCCATGGAAATAGGTCCCTGCAGCAAGTGTGGGCTAATCTTGAAACGCAGACAGCACGAAGACATGAATTTTAAATAGTAAGTGGTAGGCTGGCCACAAATAACTTTCCCCACCTCGCTCCAAAACATAAATAGATAAAATATTTATTAAAACATCTGTCAGCGCGCTGAACTGTACGTGAGAAAAATCAACCAGTGCAAAACAAGGCAACCGGGTGTTTTTCTGGGAGAACAGGAAAAAATACCTTGGAAATTAAAGAAGTGGCAATGTTTAAGCAACTCTGTGAGACAACAGGGAAGATCTCTCAAGAGAAGATTAAAGGCTTATTCCAAAGTCAGTGTTACCCCGATGGGGCGGTGCTGCTGGAATCTGCTTCACTGGAAGGTCACTTCAAAATGCAACAGCAGGGGTTTGAACTGGTGTGAAGGCCTTTGGAGAGAAGTCAGGACAAGGTACAAGGGCACCCGGTGGGCCTGGGGACAGCGAGCAGAGGTGGCAGAGACATGGAAGGTACTGGGGCCTGGAACCTGCTGGGCGAGGGAAGCCAAGCCGCGACAGGTCGGGTTTGCCGGACGGACAGAAGAGCGGGGAGACTCTGTGACCGTTTCCTCAACTGCAAGATGGGGATAGCAGGCTTGACGTGAAGGTTAGCTGTGTGGGCTTGGCGCACACTAACACTCAGTAAGTAACAACTTTCCCGTGTCTTGGCCTCGTCAAGAAACTGACGAAAGGCAGGGACTTCTCCCCAGCAAAGTGCAAATGGCAGGAGGGAAGTCGTAGACACATGTTCACACACACCCTGCCACCCCCACCCCAGGGTCCAGGGACCTCAGGTGAAGGTCTTGAGTGACACAGGCAGTTTTTACTATTCTGTGAAATTTACCTTCAATACGAGGGTAACATTTGCAAAAATTTGCCCTGAGGTGGTAAATTCAAGAAAAGAGAAAGAAAAAGTAGATACATACAAGGTTATTGATCACAGCTTTGCAGATGACCGGTTCCTCCTTACCAGGAATACTTTGCAGGCCAGACAAGTGATAGCGTAGTTACACTTACTAACATCCCATGTATCCAGTACGCTACTGAGGTAATATCCCATTTTTGTAAAGTTGTATTCGTGTGTGTGTATGTGTTTGTGTGTGTATACATATAATTTCCCCTCTATGCTTTTGAGTTCTCGGCTGAGACTCCCTATGATCAAAGATAAAGGAGAAACACAAAGAAGTTTACTAATAATGTATACTTCAGGAATGCAGGAGATATACCAGGAAAATGAAGCAAACTGCACAGGCTGGCCCAAGCACCGCCCGGCATAGCATCTTCACACAAAGACAAAGAAAGTTGGGGGAAGGGAAGCCAGTTAAGGGAGATGAATCAGGAAAAGCACAGCAACCAGGGGCAAGGTTGTCATGCAGATTCCCGTCTGCTGTCTTCTCCACGGACAAGAGACTCTTGTGATTTAGAATCAGCCTCCTCTTCCTGGTACCGAGAGAGACTCGTTTACAAATGGAGAGTTCCCTTTTAAATGTAAGTTTCCCCTACAAAAGGGTAAATTTCTATTCTCTTTTCAGAGTTTCTCCTGCTTCTGCAGTTTCTCAAAAAAAAGAAAGTTTGCGCAAAATAATCCTTATGCCAAAGAGGCATATTCTGCTTTAAAACACACATGGGAAACTGGAAAACACTAAATTATTGCAGTTGTTTATATCTAAGTAATGAGATTTCACATCATTCTCGCTCTTTTGCATTTTCACTATTGTTTGAACTTTTCTGTTTGCGGTGTGAGACGGTAAGAGGCTGGAGTAAAGTGTCCGATGAGCATGCTTTTATTTATCCACTTAATCGGTCTCATGAGCATAAATTGAACACCTACTGATGCAGGAAAACAGATGTGGGGTGTGAGGAGGGCTGTGTCCCAGGTCTCGTCTGAGCCCCTGGGACGTGCCCACCAAGCGTGGGTCCTTGGTTTCGCGCAGGAAGGAATTCAAGAACGAGCCACAGTTGAGTGAAGGTACGTTTATTCAGAGAGAGACATTGAAAGGCAAGAGAAAGGCCACGAGGTATGGGGGTCGGGTGCTCAGATTAAAAGTAGGTGCACACTCCATAGACAGAGTACGGCTGTTTCCGAAGAGGGAGAGGGAGGGGCGGCCGCGAGGCGCCGTGTTGCTGGTTTTTATGGGCTTGGTGGCTTCATATGCTAATAAGTGGAAGGACCCGTCTTAAGTAGCCTGTGGAAGGGGCTGGGATTCCCAGGAAGTTGGCCATTTCACACTCTTTGACCTTTTGTGGCCAGCCTCGGGACTGCCATGGTGCCTGTGGGCGTGTTATTCACCATGTTAATACATTACAATGAGCGTATAATGAAGCTCAAGCTCTGCTAGAAGTTAAATCTCTCATCATCCTGAGCCTCAAGGCCTCCTGGGGGTTGAACCTTTCACCATTTTGATGTTAATTGCTGTGGCATTCCTTGCATGGCTGTGCCCTGCCCCCTTCCTGTCTCACCACCGTACAGCAGCATGACCTGGGCACAGGTCAAAGAAGGCAGGCCTCTTCCCATTAGGATCTTACAGCCCCATGTGGAAGGCGCCTCTACACAGCAGTAGTTCCCGTGCCCTGTGCCCAGGCCCCAGGCCCAGGGGAGGGGCCCCCGAGCCAGGATCCGAAAGGGGCAGGTGGTTGTCAAGACAGGCTTCCCAGAAGAGGCACGGAGGGTGGAGAGAATTCCAGACAGGAGACATTTCCAAGGGTAGCCAAGGCCAAAAATAAGTAAATAAATAAATAAAGGGTACTATTTTTAAAACTAAAGCTGTTCCACGTTCTAGGAACAGCAGCAGGATTCTGATTTCAGGAGGAGAAATCTTTTGGTTATGCAAAGGTAGGGATACCAACAAGGTCTAGAGGAAAGAAATGCGGGCAGAAAGACTGCAGTGAGGTGAGAGACCTCTCTGTGGGGAAGGGCATCTCCGCAGAAGGGCTGACAATTTTAACTGAAGAAGGGGGACAGGAAGGGAGGACGGGCAGGGAGCAGGGCGGGGGGTGGTGAGTGGAGGCTTGAACGGGGAGGAGGGCCAGTAAAGGTAGCCTTGGAGAAAGGGTGCAGCCTGGGGTTTAAGAGCCTCATTCCCAGAGAAGCAGTGACAGCTGACGTCCCAGCATAAAGGGTGGTCTCCGAGCTTTTCCAGTCCTTTTGTGACATCTCAAGTCTTCAGGAATGTCTGTTAATCTTTCTGGCCTGCTGTTACCTTTGTGTGTGAACGGGAGCCTTGAAGAGTGAAGGAAGGGCAGGTGTGTGCGCAGGAGGCGACAGTGACAGCTGGACCGGTGCCTCTCTGGGGGCCCTAGAAGAGGAGCCCAGCGAGGGGCCAGGTTCTGGGCAGCTTGCAGTCATCTTGGCAGGAGACCCAAAGTATTTTATTGGACAACTAAAGAAAACAGTGACTGTGAAGGCCTTGGAAACGTTCAGGGTTATAAAAGAAAAATCTAGAGCACTTGTGCGGACGACGGGGTGAAGGGAAAGGAACAATAAAACTTAACTGCGCAGCATGAAGGTGTTAACCGGGAGAGGTGACCCTCCCGGATGGGGTGATCAGGAGGGACAGCCACTTTCGGTGGAGGGGAGAGTTAGGATGTTGGCCCCGCGGAGAAGGGGGACAGCGTGGCTGTAAGAAAAGCACCCGGCAGACGTTGTCACCGGTCACCGGGGGCTTCGAAGACCTGTGGAAGCGCCAAGTCACAGTTTAAGAGGCTCGTGGCTGTGGGAAGAGAAGAAGAAGCTGGGACCCAGGAAATGGTGCCTGCTGCCCTCCAAGAAGAAGGAATTTCTGAGAAAGGCTTGGGTAATGTCATCCTGCGAGAGCCAGAACGAGAGCTGAGCAACGTCGTGGTTGAGTGTTGGTGGCCCTTGCTGGCGTCGTTGCAGGAGACTGGACTACAGGGGGGGCATTGTGGGGATCCCAGGCAGCAGGTAGAAAGACGTACCCCCAGCAGAGAAGGGAGGAAAGACGCCACCCAGAGCAGGAAGGTTGAAGAAGGCCTGGCGTTTGTCTGGTTCTGTTGCTCCTTTCTGCCTGTCAACTCGACGACGCACCTGCGTGCGTATTGCTAGCCGCAGGGCCTGTGGGCAGAAACGGAACTGAAGGCGTTGGAGAGACAGCGATGGTCGAAGTTCAGTCTCAGGGAGTCTGGAGGTTTCAGGCCCAGCGTAAAGGTAGAAGAACTCACCTTGAAAAAAGGAAATTTACACCTTCCTTCAAAATAGATGGTAAGAAGAAGGAGGTGGAGACGGAGAGGTCAGATGTGGAACTCTGCCAGCACGCGGCCCAGCCAGCGCACAGAGGACTAGGGAGGAACTCTTAGCTCTCAGAGCTGTCACTCTGCCAGGCCTCAGGACAGTTTGGTTCCTTGGGTGAGTCGGGGAGGACAGAGCACTGGCATCGGGGACGGTAAGGAACCCTGGCTGCTTCTAAGTAGGGACCGCGATGATGCAAGACTCGGTGCCTCACGTCCCCGGGATGCCCAATAAAACATCGATGATGACGGTGCCACGCCTTTAACCAGGCCCCGGGCCTCAGTTTCCCCATCTGTGAAACAGGAAGATGCTGGCCACTGCCCCGTGTAGATGGGTTGGAAGTAACTAGTCCTTTGAGATTCCCAGATGAGAGGGCGCACCGCAGCACAAGATGTTGAATGAGAAATGGGCTGTTTCACGTACGCAGGTGAGTGTCTCTCTAATCAAAACACTGTCTTCAAAGCCCCGGAGGAGGAGCGTGCATCAGTCAAAAACCTCAAGGGCACCCAAGATTTCATCACCTTCGAAGAGTCCTACGTAGATAAATGGTTTATCTTTTAGATGGCCTGCTTTCAAAACAAACTGCCCACAATTTGTATTAGAAACGGCAGCCTATTCCTGATTGATCTAGCACATTAAACAAAACTTTCACTGTACTACAGAATTATTCAGTCCCACCTACACATACATTCGCAGGAATCACTGTTAATGTCAGGACGAGTTGCTGGGGGAGGCACAGCCCAGCGGTAGTGCCTGCTCAGTGTGTGAGGTCCTGGGTTCAATCCCCGGCACCACCTCCGTGAACAGCAGAAAAGACACGTTGCTAATCGGGAGAAAAACTGTGGAACAGCGTGTGTGTGTGTGTGTGTTCTGCCTTTTGTGTGAAAGAGGAAGAGTAAGGGCCATTTGTGTTACTTAGAAACTCAGGGATCACACCCTGGAGACGCGGAGGGTGGGCCTGGGGTAACGTGAGACTTTTCCCTGAACGCTTCCTCTGTTTAGAGTTTGAGGCTATGTGAGTGTATTCCCTGTTGAAACTTTTTCAGAGGTAGGTCTGCACACAACAGGGAGAGAGACCCCCATCCCACAGGCTCAGCTCAGAACAGGGCGTGGAGCAGAGCCTGCTGGTGCGCACGGCTTCCAGGGCAACCTCCTGGGGAGGGCAGAACGGGGCTGGGGCGACCGGGGACCTCAGTCTATACTTAAACACCGTTTGAAGTTTTTGGTGTTTTTTTTTTCTTAAAAAGAGGATTAAAAAGAACCCAGCATCTTAAGTAGTCTCCCAGATACCTTACGACAACACTGGGTGGCCGTGGCTATGATTCTGGGCAGGAAATGAGAGCAGGAGACCATCCCTGCTGTCAGGCACCAGCCACTGGAGGCCGAGTGAAGTGACGTTTGCAGCTGACTGCGAATGACACACTCCGCACCCAGCTGCACGTGTGCAAGTGTGCGAAATCATCTGAAGCCAGCTGCAGACACAATACGTGTGTGTGTGCGTGTGGAGAGAGACAAAAGGACTGTGGCAAAATGTTAAGAATTGTTGGATCTAAGTGAAAAGTATAAATATTTATTTATTCTTTTTCTTTTCAATGGAGGTACCGGGGATTGAACCCAGGGCCTCGTGCTTGTCAGGCATGCGCTCTGCCCCTGAGCTCTGCCCTCCCTCCCATCCTATAGCTTTAACTTCTCCTTGTCTTTGATATTTTTCAAAAGGGTTGGGGCCGGGACACGGGAAGCAGAGGATGAGAAGAGGAATTTGTCCACCTGGTTGTTTGACTCTTGCCCAAGGAAAGTGGATCCACCAAGAGCACGAACAGACGCCCGACAGGAGGAGCCCCTGGTGAGCACCGTGTGACGGGTCTGCACGTGTCACACCCCCAGAAGGCCCGCTGTCGGGGTTTCACACCTCCTGATCAGGTGAGAGTGTGTTCTGTCCGCTGACCTTGAACGTGGCCCAGGCCGCTCTCAGCGGCTCTGGTCCAGCCCTGAGGCATCATCCACTCACTCGGCATCGGTGTGGAGCGGCTGTGCACACCGAGAGGCAAAGGCCCCTCACTGCCGACGCATCCCCGTAGGTTCTTGTTGGCACCACAGCTCTTCTTTGCTCCCCGCCTGCCTGACCAACACCACGGTAGTCACCTCACAGACCATGCGGCAGTTTTTTTTAAGTGATGAAAATATCCAGAAATGGTTTGTTACTGAGTTCCTTTTGCTTGACCCGCACAGCGTTCGCAGCTGCGGGGACACCCTCAGCCGGTGCTCCGCAAATGCCCCTCCGTCAGTTCCGGATCCCAGAGCTCCAGAGCGGAGCCTTGAGGGCCTTCAACAAAGCCTGAAGAGGTGGCCCTGAGGGGAGACGCAGCGGGAGACGCAGTGGGAGCCGCAGGGCGGCCAGGCTCGTCCCCACCATGCTCAGAACTGTGGGACGGTCAGTATTTGGAAGCTGCTGGATTACTGCACGTGGCTCCCCGATCCACTGCGGGAATCCAATCCCCTTCCTCCAGCCCTGAAGGGCGCACTTCACAGGTAGGTCACGCCTTATGTACAAATGAGGTACCTCTGTGCCTGCAGTTCACAAATGAATTTATCTAGAGTCAGCAGCTACCCAGGGCCAGGACAGAGCAGTCCCGCTTTCAGCACACTTGGATTCTGTGAATTTGCGAGTGCCGTGACTTGTGTTTATGTTCTGCAGAGGTGCCCCAGGAAATCGGCAAGCAGACGAGAGACTTCCACGAAGTATCGGAACACCTGGATAATCACTTAAAGCAACCAAAAGCTGCCTCACGCCGCACACAGAAATTAGCTCAAAGACACCAAAATGTAAGTCTAAATCCATGAAACTTTTAGGAGAAAACAGGGGACCGTCTCTGAGACTCTCACAGGGAGAGATTGTCCACACATGCAGAGCATTCGACATAAAAGAAAAAAATTAATCAACCAGGCTCACTAAAAGGAAGAACGTTTGTTCTTCAAAGAGCACAGTTAAGAAAGCAGAAAGACCAGTCGGAGGCAGACGAGCCCAGCCCTGGGACCAAAGCCCTGATTCCTGCGCACCCCTTACACCCACTGGGACGGTGGCTGTCGCAAAAGCAGGAAGTAGCAAGTGCTGGGGGACTGCAAAATGGGGCAGCCAGCACGGAAATGGTATTCCCGTTCCTCACAAGATTAAAACCAGAACTTCCGCCTGACCCAGCAATTCTAGCTTCTGGGTGCTCTCGCTAAAGAACAGAAAGCAGGTCTCAAGGAGACGCCTGTGCCCCGTGTTCCTGCAGCGCCATTCACACTGGCCCAGAGGTGGAAGCCAACAGGTGTCCCTCGACGGGTGATGGGTGACAAACGTGGTCCCTCCCTACAATGGAACATCAGTCAGCCTTAAAGAGGAAGGAAATTCTGACCCCTCCTGCAACACGGATGGAGCTTGAGGACATGTGCCCAGGGAAACGAGCCAGTCACGAGGGGACAAGCACTGTGATTCCACTTACATGAGGTCCCTAAGGTGGACAAGTTTGTAGACAGTAGGACAGCGGGTGCCAGAGACTGGGGGAGGGGAGAGGAGCTGGGGTTTCATGGGGACGGAGTTTCAGTCTTACAAGATGCTTTGTGGAGATGATGGTGGTGAGTGTGTTTAACACCAGTAAACAGGACACTTAGAAATGGTTAACACAGTGAATTTTATGTTTTGTGTATTTTACCACAAGAAAGAAATAGGAGGGGGAAATCCTATGTGGGCTCTTTCTGGCTGACCGCAGGCCATCACAAGGCTTTGTCCTAGGCTCGGCCCCACCCTTTGTCCCTCTCACTGGACTTCAGCCCTCACTCCGGAGCTGCCACCGTGGACAGCCCGCGGGACCCTGGCCGGCCCCGGGGCAGAGGGGGCAGGACTCGGGCAGGAGATGGTGTGCCTGAAACTCAGATCTTCCCAAGTGGGACGGGCTCCTGCAGGGCAGTGAGACCCCCATCCTGGAAGCGTTCAGAGTGTAAACTAATACAGTGGGAGTGTCTGAGAGGAGACTCAAGCCACGAGGGTTTTTCTGGAGGGGAACTGGCTGCTGGCTGGCTCAGAGCTTGTGGGGCGACAGGGCTGGTAGAGGCTCCCACAGCCCGGGGCACAGCGAGTGGGGATCCCTTCCCTTCCAGCCACGTATCCGTTTCTTTATCTAACCAACACTTACCGAGCATGTAGTATTTCCCACATGTGCCAAGAAATGCAGAGCCAGTGACAGGCGGCCTCGGCCCTGGTGGGATGTGCACCCGCTGCACTTTCTCCGACAGCTTCGGGAAGGCCGCCTCTGCTGCTCGCGGAGCCTGGTTTAGGGTTAGTCACGGGCGGGGGGGTGGGTGCTGCGCCGGCTGGGCTCAGGACCATCACCGCAAGGACGAGCCCCTGATCAGGCCACTCCACCAGTCGTGTCTGCTCTTTGGAAATGTCTCAGATACCTGCTGAAGGAAATCTCAGTCAACAAGTGCATGCAACCTTAGGCAGCTGGGATTTTAATAAAAAGCACTGAGAGTGTACGGAGTCCCTGGTCGGTTCCTTCCTCTTTCCTCCCCCAGACATAAGACCAGCTCTGCCACGGCGCTGCTCGCCCGGCACACGCTCGCTCGGGTTTCCCAGACGAGGAAACTGGGCTCAGGGACACTGGCTTCCCTGGGCAGTTTCTGGGTCTGGGAACTGGAAAGAATGGCCTGGGTCTCTGGGCCGGGCCTCCTCCACCGGAAGGTCACTTACTCCCCAGCGGGGTGACATCAGCTTCGCTCCTCCACCTTAGACTCAGACCAGCTGCTTTTACGGAGCCCACCCAGCTGAGCAGAAGAAGGAAAGTGAAATCTGCTGGCCTCAGAAAACTGCCGCCTGTCGCAGTCATGTTTGAACCCTGAGAGTGGAAGCAGAGTGAGGATGTGCAGATTCTGTAGCGGCAGCTGGCACACACGCCTGTCGCTCTTTGAAGGCTTCCCCAGCGCTCCACCTCTCCAGCAAAGCCCCTGCGGGATGGCTGTGCTCTGAGGTCCGGGAAGCTAGCATGTTTCCCCTCACTCTCCCTACTGTTTCGAAGCCCAGGTGAGTCTGGGGAAGGCCTTTCCAGGGTTGAAATGGAATCTGTAGCCAGAGGACCACTTCCCACATTCAGCGGCCCTGCAAACGGAGCCCCCAAACAGAGCCAGGGCTCCTGGGTCCCCACGGTTCAGGCAAGCAAACCGGGGCAGCCCCTGTACTCTGAGAGACTGTCTCTTCAACACAGACCATTCCCTGCCGTCCCGAGTCCTTATTTAATTTTTCAGACCTACAGGAAAAGTGAAAAACCAGTCAAATGAACACAGTGACCCTTCCCCTCCGTTCACCAATTGCTGCCGTTTCCCGGTAGCTTGGTCTCTTCCTTTTTTAGCTTTTGCTGAACCATTTGAAAGCAGGTTACAGACAACGTGACGTTTTACTCCTGAATATTTTAGCATCTGTTGCCTAATGAGGAAAGGTTCCTACAGACCCTCAAAACTACCATCACTTGTAAGAAAACAAACATGTATTCGCGAATACAGTCTGCCAGGTAACTGAGGGGGCACCGCTTGGCACTCGGTCGTTTGAGCTGAAGGCAGCTAAGACCCAGCAGGACCTGCCTTTCCTCTGCCTTAACTGCCGGAAGGAATGCGGACAGGAAGAGCGCTGCCGCCAGAGACGGCTTGTACATCGCAAAGACTTACCCGCGCGGCCTGGCGAACACCTGTTCCTGACCAGCTGCTCTTCTCACCCTCCTGTGGACCGGCTTCCTCCGCTCTGAAGCCGGGCTCCTGCCCCCGCCCCGGAGCTCGGGACGGTGCAGATGCCCCCCTGCCTGCCTGCCTTGGAGTCTCGTGTGTTTGTGTCTGAAGTTGGCTCTTCTCCTGTTGATCTGTCTTATGTCAGCTTAATTATTGGACCAGCCAACGAACCTCGAAGGGAAGAAGGAGAGGATTTTCCTCCCCAGCAGAATCCAGTTCTGAACATCCCCAGTTGCCTCCAAAATGACTTTCACCTGGTCGTTACGCCCAGGCTTCGGCCACGGTTCATGCGTTGCTTTGCTCGTGTCTCTTCTGTCTTTTTTTTGGAGGTACTGGGGATTAAACTCAGGACCTCATGCACATAAGCACATGCCCTACCACTGAGCTCTGCCACCACCCCTCTTCTGTCACTTTTGTCCTAGAATAGTCCCCCGAGCCCCCACCCACATCTCTTATTTTTCTTGCCAGTGAGTTTTGACAAGAGCCGAGACAGGCCAGCTTGCCGGATGCGCCACACCTGGGAATCATCTGATTCTTTCCTCACGATTACATTCAGGTTAAATGCTGTGGCAGGTCCTGCCCCTGCCGAGGGCCAGTTTGTCCCCACGGTGAGAGGTGCTGGAGGGCGATGGACAGGCTGTCTCGATCGCAAAGGCTCAGGTTTGCCTTTGCAATGAACACGTCGTCTGAGAGGCGGCAGGCCGCGGTGGCAGCGAGGACTTAGTCCATTAGCAGGGTCGCGGATCGGAAGGCCAGCCCACCGAGCTCTGCATCTGCCCTCTGCAGATTAACACGGGACACGTCCGTGGGGATGGGCGGAGACGGGGTGGTGCCGCAGCGTTCACCATCGCTAGGTAGTGGTGAGCTTGCCGATGATTTTAATTGCCTCCCTTGCCATTTTTGCATCTTCTAGATCTTCTGCAATGAACACATACTGCTTTTATAATTCTGAGGGAAATGTGTTCAACAGTTTCGAGAAGAGAGGACGAGGGCAGGGAGGAGGGAGGTGAACCCTCAGTCTGTGTGGGGCAGGCTGGTGTGGAGTGGGGTCAGTGTGACGGAGGAGCAGTGGGCGCCCAGGTGCTGGTGCCTGTGTCGGGCCACCTCGGGTCGGCCTCGCTGGCCTGGACAGAAGCCTGTTCCCTCTTGCTCGCCGTGTCCCCTGGGCTAGAGGCCTGGCAGCTGTGCAGCCACCCCCAAGTCTGTCTTCCTGCACCCGGCACCCTGGGGATCAGTGCCTTTGCTAAATAAACTCACCTGGGCTTCTCCTGGTTGGAGTGAGCGGTTTCCTCGTGGACACCTTGGGTCCCTCCTTTGGCATCACTGTCCCCAAGCCCTCCTCAGTGTCGGCTGCTCCTCTAGCCGGCAACCCCGTCCCTTGTCCACCCTGGAATTCCCGGGGCCTTCCACAGTCTGAGGTGCAGAGTAGGTCCCCTAGAACACTGATGGACTAAATGAGTGGTGAGCACGCCCGTGGACGTCTGGAGGCTGGAGGTCTTTGTGCGAGAGAGCCAGAGGCTCAGGGACCTCACTCCAGTCGGAGGGACCCTGACCACAAGCCTGGGCCCGAGAAGCCACCAAGAGGCGGGGCTTCTGTGACGGGGCTGATGGGCCAGAAAGGAGTCTCTGAAGGCCGCCTGCCAACCCAGGCTGCAGAGCAGAGCTGGGCCTGGGAGGGTCCCAGGGCGGCCGGTTTGAGGCCCATAGTCTTGCTGGCCCGCAGGGGGGTCAGGCTGAAGTCCCTGACCCCCGTGGAGGGCGCAGAGTGGCTCCCGGGACCCTGCGTGGCGCCAGCCCCGGTGCGGGCAGGGAAGGAGAGCCCGGCCACACAGACGTCCCCGAGTGCCGCGTCCGGGGCTCATTCCTTTCTGCGTTCTCCCCTTCATTCTGTCTCCGGTTCATTCTCCAGTTCAAGCGCCGTCCAGTCGCCAGTGCTGTCCCTCTCCTGGGAGGAGGGGCCTGCCTCTGCTCCCAGGGATGCTTGGGCTGGGGTGGGGGGGACGCAGGCAGTCGGCTTCCAACGGCTCCAAGATGCAGAGAGATTAAGTTTCTCTGCTGGGGTCGCAGGGTCGCCCCACCAGGACTCTGGCAGGCCCCCAGAGCCTTCCGCAGGGACCCCAGGTGGGCGAGGGCATGCCCCCAGGTTCGAGTACATTTTGTGTGCACCTGCTGAGGGTCGCTGAAGTTAGCTTTTGACACAGCCTGGTGTTTTCCAGAAAGAGTGAGGGGTGGGGAGGCTGCACGGCCACCTGCTCCGTCACTTAGACACTGTCGCATCTGCAGAGCTGTTCCAGAAGCACAGGGCACGTGCGCATCGCCGAGGTGACAGCAGAAAAGCTCACACCGCGGAGCAGAGGAGAGGGGTAGTCAGAGTGACGGCTGACAGCAGGGAGACGCTTCTTGTCTTGACTGCACCTTTTTTCCTTCGGAGTAAAAGTAGTTTCAAAGTTGGAAAATCATGACAACTGTGTTGCTCACGAGAAGCGAGATCATCACGCTCTCACTGCCGCTTTACCCGTGGGGCCAGGTGGCTCTGGGTCCAGATCAGGGAACTGTAACAGGGCTGCCGTTCTGTCGGCATCAGGTGACGGGCGTCACGGCGACCTAACCTGACAGGCGAGGACACGCGGGGCCGCCCTGTCCTTGAGCTCCCGCTGCGCCGGGCGCCCCCGGGCCCCCACCACCCAGGAACCCTTTCTGTCCGCAGCCGCACACTCTCACCACAGCTGTAACCGCCTCACCTTCCCAAGCACCCCCATCACTTGGCCAGTATTCCTGGTGTTAGCAGACTCACGGGCCAAGCCAGTGGCGTCTGAGGAACAAAATCTGACCGGACGACACTGAGATACCTTCAGAGCCAAAGAGCTGCAGGCGCACCTGCTGCGAGGGGCCCACCACGAGCTCGGGGCCGCGGGCGGTGCTCCAGGGACGGTCCCCACCAGGGGCCTCCGGTCCTCAGGGAACGCGGGGCACTGGGAGGCAGACCTCGGCCCAGCTGGGTCAGAAGGTGGCTGTTCTCAGCGGCGCGGTTTCCCCTTTGTCCCAAAGAATTAAACCTCGCGTTCTAGCTCCTTTTAGAACGAAGACTGCATCCCAGCGTTCCTGGCAGCTCGGCTCAGGCCAGCGGGACCAGGTGAAGGGTCACGTGGCAGATTTCCAGCACTTTCTTTAAGATGCCCCAAGACTCCAGGAGCAGGGCCTGGACTCCTCCCTCCGCCCGCCCCCGGGGCTTGGGTGCAGCGCCTGTCCCTGGGCCTCTGTCGCTCACTGCTGACCCAGTCCTGAGTAAACAGCAGGAGGTACCTCGGAATCCCGAGAAAAGTTCGGCTCGCGTGTAGAAATGGCTGTGACCCGAGCCCAGCGGG